CTCATCCTAGGTATGACTTGGCTTGAAGGCCGTGAGCCCTGGATTGATTGGAGGTCTAAGACCTTAGGCGCTACGCGCAATGTTCCTAGCGAAGCTTTGAAGAGTCATGAACACACCTTCGCTAGGCAACAGAAGCGCTATTGGCGCGAGTCTTTGACAGAATATGTCAATGTGCTGGATATTGGAATGTCTGAGTTATCTAACACCAATGTTACAAACATAAGTTTTGAGCCTAGCTCGTCTAAAACTAGTGAAACGGCACGTACTCCGTTGAGTGTTACTCGTTGTGATGACGAGTCACTGCATGCTGAAAGCATGGTTGGCCCAGGGCCGAGTGATCAAGGATGTGATTCATTTGATGTGTGTATGGTGGCACGTGAAACTACACCGAGTGCGGTCGGCCGTGAGAGCTCCGCACTGAACGTCGGTAATGACGTTGTTGGCGATTCGCCATATAGTGTGGGCGGCCGTGAGGGCACCACAACTAATGTCAGTAATGATATTGTTGGCGATACGCCGTATAGTGTGGACGGCCGTGAGGGCACCACGCTTAACGCCGGTAATGGTGTTGTTGGCGATACGCCGTAGAGTGTGGGCGGCCGTGAGGGCACCACACCTAGTGTCAGTAATGATACTGTTGGCGATACGCCGTATAGTGTGGACGGCCGTGCGGACACCACACCTAATGTCGGTAATGACCTTACTGGCGAGACGCCGTCAAATTTGGGGCTAGGCCCGCATTATACACGTGGAGTGGCACGTTTCAATCCACTGGGTGAAGTGTTCGAGTTATGTAACACTTCACCGGATGTCGGTCAAGACAAAAGCTCTCGTATAGAGCGTACTATGGTTATTAGTAACCATGGGGACAATATTGTCCCGACCCCTAAGGGGTATAAGGTCTCGAAGAGACGATCGAGACGCCGAGTAACAAATGTAAAGCGCCAGGCGTCCACACAGTCACATAGTGATCATACTAATACACTATATACACTTGTTAATGGAGTGACTGGTCAGGTTGATGGCAGTGTTTGCCTTGAAACCCTTCCATCTGTGGACGCTCTTTGTGAGCTAGACGAAATGTCTGATGGCGACTTTAGCTAGGCCTTGAAGGAAGGAGAGTTATCCGAGTTAGCGGTAATTAGACCTGATGCTGAGTTGAATTCTTTTTCGTTAATGGATGAGTCTGTCCTAGAGGATACAAAGGCGGCATTTAGTGCTCGAAGTGGATCTTCGATCCTTAAAGATCCTTTGGATCCGTTCTATCCTTTAGTTAAGGAATTTTAAGATGGGGTGTGTCACAACCCACCTTCTGCCTTACCTCCCGATAGAGGTGTACGTCATGAGATTGACTTAGTTCCTGGAACTAAATATTGTGTAACACGGCAGTGGCCTTTGCCTAAAGAACAGTGTGACGTCATTGACGAGTTCTTTCGTGCTAAGGACGCGGCTGGAATGGTTCTTGAGAGCAAGTCTCCCCATTCAACACCGACATTTTGTGTGCATGCTTATAATAAGCTTAATGCAGCCACTATACCGGAGCAGACGCCTATTCCTAGAAAGGATGTGCTTCAGAACAATACGGCAGGATGTACATTGTACAGTGCACTCGACTTAGTCGATGGTTATTACCAACTGCTTATGCGAGCAAGTGATATTCCGCTAATAGCGGTGAGTACTCCGAGCGGTACGCTCTGGGAGTGGCTTGTTATGCCACAAGGACTATCTAACGCCCCGGCTACATTTAACCGGCTGGTAACGCAACTATCCCGGCCTCATCGAGGCTATGCACAAACGTACTTTGATGACATTTTTGTCCATAGCCGTGCAATGAATGGGCGGTCAGATGTGGATAACCACATTGATCATTTACGAGCGGTGCTCGAGTGTATGCGAACGAATAAGTTGTATGCTAACGCATCGAAGCGCATCTTTGGTGCAGAAGAGATTCCCTTTCTAGGGTGCTTCATTGGGACGCGAGGCCTTCGAGCGTATCCCGCTAAGGTGAAAGCCATAGTCGATTGGCCAGTTCCTCAGAACCAAAAGAACTTGCGTAAGTGGCTTGGCCTTGCCAATTACTTAAATAAGTACAGTGCGTATTACGCAGATATGGCTCGGCCATTGTCCAATCTCCTTAAAAAGGATGTGGATTGGTGTTGGGGTAACACCATACATAATGCTTTGAAGCAGTTAAGGAGAGTCTCCTTCATGCGCCAATATTGGCTTTGCCCGATTCTGGTCGGCCTTTCAGTGTCGTCCGTGACGCATCTGACTTTGCCATAGGCAGTGCTCTGTTACAAACAGATGTCGATGGACGCTAACGCGTCATCGCATTCGAGTCTCGGCAGCTGAAAGCTGATGTAAAGAACTATCATGTTCATGACAAAGAGCTACTTGCTATGAAGTACGCTCTTGTCAAATTCAAAGTACATCTGCCTGGCTCCAAGCCGTTTGTGATCTATACAGATCATGCGTCATTACTCACTGCGACACAGTCGCCTCATCTCTCACAGAGAATGGCTCGTTGGCTTTCCTTTTTTGCCGAGTATAACTTCGAGGTGAAGTACAAGCTAGGTAAGCAAAATGCTTTGGCTGATGCGCTATCGCGTCGATCTGACTATAAGCTTGCTCATGTTACGACTCTGTCGTCGTCAGTCCCTGACTTAATCCGTGCGGCATATGCCAAGGATGATCAGTGTGTAGCTTTGCTACGTGCTCTTGGGAGCAATGAGTTTAAAGACGCGGACATCGAGTTGTCGGCACGTTTACGTGCGAGGCTACATCGACATTCCATCGATAATGGCCTGTTGTGCTATCGCACGGATATTGAGGATATCCCTCGTATCGCTGTACCTCATGATGAGGAATTCAAGTATCGAATCCTCTATGAGGCACATATTCCTGCTTTAAGTGGTCATCTCGGTCGTGAGAAGACTTATAGATCGGTGAACCAAAGTTGTTGGTGGCCCAAACTTTATAAGTGGGTGCGCACCTATGTGCGTTCGTGCGAAACGTGCCAACGGGTTAAACCCTCAGCACATGCGGCAGCACCGCTGGCTAGTTTGCCAGTACCCACTGGTTGTTGGGAGTCCATGAGAATGGATTTTGTGTTTGACCTACCGAAAGATTTGACAGGCAACACTGGTGTTGTGGTCTTTGTTGACCGATGAAGAAAGATGGCTCACTTAGCGGCTGTGACGGATAGCATCGATGCTGAAGGTACAGCAAAGCTGTTTATTGACCGTGTATTTCGACAACATGGCTTGCCTGTGGCAATTGTCTCTGATAGAGACCCCCGCTACACTGGCAAGTTTTGGAAGTCTATTTTCAAGGTGCTGGGCACTCGGTTGGACATGTCCACAGCGGATCATCCGCAGACCGACGGTCAAACTGAGCGTGTTAACCGCGTCATCAACGACATTTTGCGCTGTGTTTGCGCTGATACGCCTAGGCGTTGGAGCTCAATGCTCCCTGTTGTTGAGTTCGTGTTGAATAACGCTGTTCATGCCTCAACAGGCTTTACTCCGTTCTACATTAACAGTCTCACTCACCCTAGCGTTCCGTTTACGCTATCACTACGTGATTCAGGGCTTGGTAAGGGAGAGGTTGCCGATCGGCTTGCTGATATCAGCCCTGCTACTGTTCAAAAACAGGCAGGCGAGTTTCTCGCAACGCGATTAAATGTCTTAAGACATGTGCGTGACGCAATGGCTGATAGCCAAGATAACCAAAAACTACAAGCTGATGTTAAAGGCAGAAAATGCGTTGAATGTTATGAGGTCGGAGACCAAGTATTACTCAACGCTAAAAATCTACCTACAAATGTAGTGTCTGCTGTCTTCAAGACAAAGTTGCGTCCACGCTTTATTGAACCGTTTAGGGTCACGGCCAAGAAGGGACTTGCGTATACGCTAAACCTTCCGCGCAAAATGCGCACACATCCAGTGTTCTACGTAGGCTTACTTAAGCCGTACCGGGATCCTTCTCATGTGAACTTGGAGGCGCTTGCGCCAACGACAAGGGCACTGTTCCGGATTGCTGTAGGCGAATTAGCAAGTCCAACTGAGCCTCGCTCCGAGTTTATGCATGCTCCATCGCCTGAAGTCGGCGTTGCATCGCATCCAGAATGCACTGGGACTTATTCAAGGGCCTCTTGAAGACCCTTCACTTCGAGAACCGATTTCTAGTGGGCCTCCACCGGTACACCGGCCGCCACCGACTTTGCTCGATGAGCTTGGGTGTCGTCAATTTCATGTCGAGATACTAGTAAAACGACGTCGACGTCAGGGCCAATACCAGTACCTGGTAAAGTGGCGAGGGTACCCTGAGTCTGAATACTCATGGGAGTTTGAGATACCCCTTCGACAAGACTGCCCTTATGCTTTGGATGCTTTTAAGCATCGTGGCCTTGGTCATCTCGAATCCGAGGCCGTTCTCCACCCACTAGTGGTGCGGGTTAGCGGGTAGTTGGCCACAGACTGACCAGAACTCGCGGCTACCTTAGTAGCCGAAGCATAGCGCGTGCGCTTGCGCAATTGGCCTCTGGCCTTAAGCTTGGCATAATCATACCGAAGTTTGCGTTCGAGACGAACATCAGCCGCATAGGTACTAGCCCTTAAATCAAACATGTTGCTGAGGCGACGCACATAGTGCACCCAGTGAGCGAAGGCATCGTCTTCTTCGCTCACTGTTTCGCCTGCGAGCAAGAGAAGGGGTATACCCTTGATCGGTGGAACTGGTGCATCACGTGCTTGCATGTCAAGGCGTGCCTTGTGTTGACTTTGAGTCGTTAGGTGCGGCTCCAGGTACCTCTCATGAAGTGCCTGGCAGCTCACCACCTCCTCAGGGGTCTTAGGCCCATGGCCAATGACCCACGTTGCCAATGTTTGGCCGGCCGCTTGACGTAGACGTTCCTCCACACTGGGTAGAGTGAACACACAGTCACGCTGGCGTTCAAGGGTTGTAGCCATCTGTGCATAACGCTGAGTGTTTTCTTCTCTTTAGACCAGCAATTGTTGTTGCTCGTCGAGCGGGTTCGTGATGATAGTCTCATCAGACCCAGATGCTGCATGCTGCGCTGGTGGCGCGCTCGCACCTCCACGTTCAGCGAACGGATTTGGGGTGTTCGAAGGTTGTGCCTCAGTCATCAGTGAGCCGGACATTGTCCCTGTATCACCGCGGACACTGGTATCGCTACCATAGTCCACCTCCTCCTCTATTCCGAGGTAGTCACACAGATCCTTTGACTCGTTTGGTGATAACGAAACCGTGCTAGAGCGTACGTTACCATGAGGTTCACCGTACGCGCACTGTTCCGCTGAGAACACAAGTTCGATTGACGTTTTGGCAAACGTCAGTCTGGTGGGGGAGGGTGCAACGGGGTTGCACGAAATTATGGTACTTTGTACCAGAGGTGCTACACACCTGAGGTTACCCCTTTGTGAAGGTGATATAGAACATCTTATTGGTTTGTAGGGGCTGACGAGTGTCAGCCATTAGGTACGAAAGTTATTTGAGTAGGATTAAGATATTCTATAGGCTTTAACAAAAATAAAATCAGTTCCCATTTTGATCCAAAGGACACGTGGCTTGCGAGCCGTCTTGATTGTTGATCACTGATCACTAAGAGTTAGCAACACCTCCTTGAGGTAGCTACTCTTGAGCACTGAGTGCTGTCGATTCACTGAATCGTTAGGTTCCCTGGAACAGGGATCTGAAGCTGTAAAGCTTGTTGACTCGTAAAGTCGTTAGTTCTTTGGAACTAAGTTGCTCGTAGAGCGTTAAGTCTTCCTCTAACTTATGGAGCTGTGTAGCTCCGCTACAATGTCTGTCTAAACACTTTTTTTAACTTGATGTTTACCTTGCGTAAAGTATTAAGTAACGGAGGCACCCCATTACAAAAACCCCTCAGAGGCTCCCCCCTACAGGGCGGGAGTGAACTTGTTCGTATAATGGGAATTCGGAAATGATTTAAGATACAAACTTATATGAGTTTTACGTTAAGTTGAGTATAAAAGAGCGTAGGACAATTAAACTTGTAATTATCTGGTCCACTTTTTTCATTTATGATAAATGCGGCATTCTCTGATCCCCCTTTGAATTTCCACCCTACTTCGCATTAAGAATAAGAACAGCAACTTTGATTCATTAATATATGGCATGCTTGTTAAATTCTATTTGTGCTTGCACTTGTGCACTTTTAATTCGTAAAAATTGGGTTAGCTATATCCAATCTTTGCCAATTTAGCAGTTATCTACTAGGTATTAGCCATTTTTTAATTGCCGATAAGATATCTGGACCAAGTCCTGCTACGCAGATCCGATGATTTATGCTCAATAGGATGCCTGAAATACAGCCAAATCGGGATACTTAAAGGCAAGCTTTTGATTTATTTGTAATTTTTTGCGGTCTCCATCTTCGTGAAGGTACAAAAATAATTACGACATCCAACCGTATGCTTTACACCTGCATGAATACCGTAAATCGATTACTCTAGCTGCTTCAAAGAGAAATTTCGCTTCTGTAATAGCAAATAGGATCAACACCCTAAAGGAATTCTTTCATCTTCGGCTGACCCTAAGCTTTTATTCTCGAGCAACAATTTCCCGACGAAGCTATCTTAACATAGTTGATTGCCGTTGCTTTAAATGTTTCTTACGTATCGAATAAACTGAAACTTTCTATCGCGTGCTTGTGCATAGTCTCTGTATCTATCAATGTTCCTATAGCATTTGACCTTGATTGAAGAGGTCTAAAGACACAACCATATCAACCCTCTGATTCAGATAAGAAGACTCCAGCTACCTTTACTAAATTTATGTTTATCCAGCGTGAGTGGTTTAGTCTGGAGAACTTCATTAAACTGGGATGCATGTTCTTACGGATTCGACAAAGTTAAGTTTTGAATGAGCTCATGTAGAGCTTCTTTTACGAAAATTATTAATGTGCACTTATCCCCGTCTAGACCTTGTAAAAATTGATCGCACAAATTTTAGGGGTTTGCCAACAATAATAAAGGGGGGTAAGAAGTTACTCAGTGACCATCCGAACGGTTATTAAAGCTTTAAATAACATGTAAGAAGCATCGAAAATGTGCGGATATATGGATGAAGGCCGCTACTACGAAGCGAGGACAATAGCTCATGACATCGCAGATGAGTGGTCACATTCCAGCATTAATGGGGATTTAGTATCCGTTTAGCAGTTTAAAAAGTCAGGACTCTTAATAAAGGTACCGGAGCAACGTTTTTATCAATATCTATCAATCTTCTATTCGCTAGTAGGCGCTTAAGGCGCCATGTAGGTTCAACTATTAACACGCGAAAGTGACCAACTGTCCAAAAAAATGATCGATCCTTAACTGTTTTTATCGATCACTGTCGTATCTACCCAGTTCACAGAATATATTCTTTAGGTCGTCAGTGATTTTTAAGGTCTCACTTTTCGGTTTCGTACCCAATCGTGTCACGAGCCTTGTTCAAGAACAACTTCTGCTATACCTCGAAACCTGTCGTTACTTGCTGAACAAAGTGATGATAGTGGGTAGAATTTCAAATCTCTCCATGAGGCCTTAAACGGGTAATTTTTTTAGTTGTACCAGATTGCTTGGATTATCATGGTTATAGTTATATTGGCGTGACCTGACCTGCCGTGGCATGTCCTCGGCAATAAATAGCTAAGTACAGTTTTGAAGACTATCTTCATCGTGCATTCATGAATATAGTCGTTTGGTGCCTAAAAAGTTAAGATGACCGCGACACATTGACAATTTTTAAACGTCTAATTGAGAAATAAAGCGCTCATCGCACTTCCACTGTCTGACGACGGCACAAAGTGATGAGCTATAGACGTCGACAGCGAAGTAGACGACAAAGAAAATGTTACTATATCCCAAGCAACAAACAAGCAGTCGCCCCGACCACTCTACGGAGCTCGTAAAGCTCCCTTAAGAAGCCATGTGAACAACCGAAGCGGAAGTCGACGATGTTGATTCGCCCAGGCCAAAAGTAGCCTGTGAAGGAAAGTAGAACGTACATTGGTGCTCAAAGCCATGGAGTCTAAAGCGGACAGAGTGAATATGGTCTTACCAAATCCATCCTCAAAACGAGTTGTGCTGACCGTTTAGGCACTGAAATTGCTCTGCGGAATGACGCCAAGGTCAAGACGATACCACTTTACAGGCGAATGATGCTTACGTGCTAATACAGCGTGCGCCGGGGACCGAGCGAATGCTTTCAAAATAATTCTACATTACGTGGCGTGAAGAAATGGCGAGATAAAGAGATATAAGGTCCGACTCGTAGCTTTTGGAAACGATCAAGTCCTTGGATTAGATCAAATCTATTGGTTTATATGCGGCTGCCGTGTACATGACGAGCGGACAAGCGATCCTGGATATAGTGCACGTCAGGGTCGCCCCCTCGTGCGACGGAGATTTTCAAATTGCGTACTTGTAGCCTGAAAACGAGGACGGAGTGAACATTTTTACATAATTTTTGAGGCATAGTGCTGGATAGATAGCTGACCGATTGAATAGTCAATAGCGATAACGAGGTTGGATGTGGACGAGAGACAAGCCTTTACAAATTCAAAAAATCGTAGATACTTTGGTACAAGTTGCTGAGTGACACGCTCCTCACACTTGATTTAACATTTACATCACCAACATGTCCTTCATTAAAGGCACGATAGTAACGGGCCCCTTAAATATTTTTTATTTTGTTCCTATTATGATTGGGAGTCGTTTAGACGTGTTCATCAAGGGAAATGTCTAGCTGTGGCCAAAGATATGGACCACGCAGCGAATTTTCTGTGTAATGTGCATTGTGCACTCTTTAAACCGGCTACACGGTTAACTAGAAGAAATCGATCACCGAACTTTTAGAAGCCTACATACTCGAGACAGTTAGCCCAGTGAGGTCGCCGATAAGTGAGGAAGAGAGAAAAAGGGACGAAATCTTAGAGCTGCTATTAAACGACCCCACAATGACGGCGACCAACTCTCGATTGCTTTGAACATTCAAGCATCTTCGATTACTTTGACACTGCTCCTTGCGGGTGGTGCGATGTACGTGACCCAATATTGCACTTGCCGTCCACCGCGCCACAATACATTCATGCCAATTTACCATGTTATACAAGAGGTCGGCCAAACAAGTAGTACTTTAACTAAGCGTAACGCGCCAGCGTGATCTTGCAATGGCCAGCGGTAGGCAGTCAAGCGAAGTAATCTAGTTCACGTGTCACATAAATGTGAAAATTGCTGGTGACAAGACTGACATCATATTGGTTAGTCATGCGGTGATTTTCGTGAACGGGTAAATGTGGTTTGGCGCAAACAAAGGCAAATGAAGGTGGCTCGGTAAACCGTCTAGACAAACTTTGTGGTAACATCAAATTCGAGTAAGAGGTTCTCATCCTAGGGAACTCTAAAAGCAATACCGATCTGTTCTATTATTGATCTCAGGGTGAACAACTAGGCCGCAATAAAATTAAATTGTAATCGAGGCCAGCTTACGCTACGCAAACAGGCCTGCTTCCACATTTAACTCCTGCGCTAAAATTCCAACAAGAAGATATATAAATATGTCACGTGGAGAGCGTCTTTCGTGGTAGAACTGATGACGAAGGCAGTAATGGCATTGCTGCTGCAGTCATAGCACACGGATGTGGTATTCGTGTGGTCCAATCCAACGGCGTCGTAGGAAGGAGTGTAGGAAGGCGGAATGTGTGATGGCATCAAGCAAGCTATCCACAGGCCACGGTGCCTGTGAATCTGATTAATTTGGTTAATCATCTGATGGGGGTAGAATTTTTTAAGATATTGGGATTGAAAGACCCAATTGCGGAAGTAAACCCCACTTTTTCCCCTACACACATCGCTGACGGATCTTTTTTTGAAGTGTTCAAGGGTGGATAAATGCAACAATCACATGCTTTGCCCTTCTAAACATGGAAGGTCTTGCACTTTTAAATCTCATTGGCAGCGTTGCCACCAGAAGAAGCTACCTAGATGCCAGCAGTACACTACTAGCCATCAGAATGGGTAGTTAGCTGCTTCAAGTGCATACATCTTGCCTTTCCAAGTGGCCAAGCGGTAGATGACGAATGTAACGGGGCACCCTTTCTTTGGTTGCCACGAAACTTTACGTACACTAGTAC